ATCTTGTGCATCTATTGCCATTAATTTATCGTTTTACTTATTCCTTAATGATCTACATTTTGAACATACTAGTTGCTGATAGATAAAAATCTCTCGTGTTCTTTTATAGTTGATCATCAAGTCAAGAATTTTCTTTGATTTTGTTGGATCGAAGAAACAATTCAAAGAGTGAAAGATAGATACGTCTATTCTTGTATTTATCTACGAATAGATCATAACATAAATGGACAATATACTATTCGTTCTAGTGAAGTGCGTGATCATTAAAATCACGATCACGCGTGATCGTGCGTGATCAGAAATTTTTTTCGTGATCGTGGGTGTGATCGTGACTGATAAACGATCTTCTTCGTGATCGTGATCGTGATCGTGATCAAAAATATCAATCACGCACGTCACTAACGTACACAATCAATTAAGCATCTGTTAATTTTTTCAACGGCATTACATTTTTTGTAACACTGATTGTAACCTAATCAATTATTTTCTATTATGGTATTACTTGGTTCAATTTTCTTTTTCAAAAAATTGGTTCGGGGTAGGTGCGACTTCAGTTTTGGAAAACCGATTCGAGTTCTGTTCGTTTTCGCTGTTGATCACAAAAAGATGGCACGCTGAATGGTGAAGAATTGCTCTTATGCTTCCAAATGAAATGTAACATTCGTGATCGTGATCGTGATGTGGATTCGAAAAAATTCGTGATCGTGATCGTGATGTGGATTCGAAAAAATTCGTGATCGTGACCGTGATCGTGATTCCAATGGAAATAAGATTCGTGATCGTGATCCAGGATCGTGTTTTATTCGTGATCGTGATCAAAAATATCAATCACGCACGTCACTAGTTCGTTCGCTCAAATGAATATCGAAAACAACGCATCAGAGAAAGACAAGTATCGTCAATAGAGAAACTCGTTCGTTTATTCAATCCATAACAACATATGAACAACACTAAAAAGAACAACTAATGTCGCAAGAAAATAAACATTGTCAATCATACGATTGCAATTGTTCTATAAGATCAGCAACTTTTATGAATGTATTTATAAAACCAATGCGTAATTGTTCATGCTCGATTTGATATTTATTGTTATTATTCGTTTCTTTTTTGCCAATTAGATTTCAAGTACATTTGACTGTTAGACACGGGCTTTCTTTTGTGAAATATTTTTTTTTCAAAAATAAAATTTCATAATGAAAGACAATCAAGCATAATTTTATTATTGCACAAAGCTCGAGATAAGAAACGAAATAGTTATTACCAATGAAATATCTCTTGTAACAATCGAAGATGTAAATAATGATATTCAACTAGCAATAATTACAAACAATATTCTAGTTTTTGATCGATAATCATTTATTTCTCGATGTATTTCATGGTAGTTTGAAGGTGACTAGAAATAATTGAACAAATTTGCACATGAAGTCTAACAATGGAATAAATTCTTCGAACAATCAATCGAATCATTTGCTGAAAGACATATGTCATTTTGTTATCAATATTATCGACAAAGTCAATAGCCATGTTCTCTCTCAAACTGATTGGTCTCCAATTATCCACCGAGATTGACCTTAATCCATTCAAAAGTATTAGTTAACATCGGTTGACGTTTATAGGAAGTTACAGCTGGGAGGATTCATTTAGAATGTAATGATATCTGATGGACTGTTTATACAGATCTTAAATGTATATGCACATTGCATAGAATTTTTAGAAACCATGTGTACCCAATATTATATTGATTATTTCAAAGAAGAGATCACTTTTAGTTTACAACCAAATAAGTGAATGTCAGTTGTCATTAAATTTAAATTTAACAATTCGTTCAAGGTGTATGTCATTCTTTTTGAATATGTTGAAGAAAACAAACTGCAATTATCGAGCTCATACCATTAACAGTATACGAAAGTTATTTTTTTGCATTCAACTATCATGACATATTCCATTTTAGTAACAAAAGACACATATTCGAAGAAGAAAAGATAAAAGAAACACATGCTTCACAATTGGGAAGAAAAAAAAAAAGAATGACTCTACTTTCTATTAACAATATACGCGACAACAAAAATAGTGCTCGTTCGACTTCTTAAAATATACTCGATTATTGACTGTGGTAAACAAACTCGTCAATCACTCGAAGGACTTCAAGAGGTTTTTGTCATTGCACCCAAGAATGTCATTGTTCGTTTACAACGTCGAGATTAAGAAATATTATGAACTAAGAGTTATTATTTCATTTTTTAATTAATAAACCAGCCGAAGAATGGCAAGTACTTTCAAATAAGAACATAGAGAATGGAAACACTTTCAAAAACAAATAAAAAGTTAGACAACACAAATTTGTTTATTGCCTCATTTATTGTGAAATAGATTACGTCGCGTTCAATCTTTGTTGATCAAATTGTTTAGACTTAACAATGAATGATTTAAATCAGTAGATGGTATGATTTTTCTACTCATAGAAAGAGACTATAGACTATGGTGAAATGTGCTTAGCAGTTGATTTTGAATAAAAGAAAAAACTGTCTGCTGCTCACTTCTGATTGGTATGCCAACATGCGATAACTTTCAAATATGTCTTAAAATCTGAAAACAGAAGTTGGAAGAGACAAAACACAGAGTAGTGAAAAATCTGGAAACGTCAAATACAAATAGAAACATGTTCGCATTTCTTAGCCATTCCGAGATGAATAAAACAGTAATGCATGGATTTAAGTTTGTCGTTCGAATTTAATATTGACTAGAAAACAACAAATCGATCGAATGCTTTCAAACACTAATGTTACAATTTTACGAATTTAATTCAACAAGTTTTATTCAACTATGACGAAACGAGAAAAATAGATTCTGCTAAAATTTGAAATGGTTATCACATGACATACACTTTAAATTTCTTAAAATTTGAATATCACACCTCATACAATGTACCACACAGCTCATACGTTAAGTTCAATAGTTTAATGGTGAGAGCTGTAATTTGCTCCAAACATGTTTTATTTTCTTCAGTTATGTTACACATCCTTCCATTATAAGCAAAAGAAAAATTATTTGGATCAAATAAGCACAATTATAAACAGCCGTTTTATAGTGATTTTTCCGAACATAGTCAACGCAATATTACGCATGTATTTCATCGTATTGTGAATGGTCGATTATTCGATTTTCAGACTGTTTGATAATCGTTATTAACTATGTACGATACGATAAAAATATAGTCGTAATACTACGTCTACAAACGTCAACTTACAACTATTGACAGCCCTGATGTATATGAAGCAGTATTTTTAATGAATGAGTGTACCCAGCAAAAGAACGAGTACGGTACCCTAATAAAAAAAATTTACATACTGTTTTACACGCTGGTGAAAAAAGTAGCGTGTACACTGTACACACTGAATTTTTATTTTACACTTTGATTTTTCTATTATCTCCGTGCTTCTGCTGTATGTACAAAAATATAATTTATATATTGAACACCATGAAAATTTTATACGTAGACTCGATTCAATTTGAACTAAGACAATAATTAACACGTGTAATGTTTTGTATTGAAACGTGCCGTTGTTCATTGACAACATTATCAGTTAAGAAAATTAATAGATAAAAAATCGAATAAAAAATTTAAAATAAAAATTACAAGCGCGCAATTATACGCTTGTAATTTTTATTTCAAATTTTTTATTCGATTTTTTATCCATTAATTTTCTTAACTGATAATGTTGTGAATGAACAGTGGAGCGTCTCAGTATAAATGACCAAAATGTCTCAAATTGAAGTAAACTTCGTTTAACTTTCATTTTTAAGTGTTGTACATAAAAATTTATTGTATACTTGAAAATTCGTATTGGAGCCCTATCTATTTATGTTTCACATAGTGTTGCCTTTTTTTTTGTTTTATTTTTAAGATATTCATGTATCTACAACTGTGGATAAATAGAGTTTCATAAAAATATCAGTTGATATTTTTCATTCAGTCAAAGTCCCTTTTGTGATTTGAAAACGTTTTATTTTTGTTTTTTTTCAAATCATCTTATCTTCATTAAAATGAAAAATGAAATAAAAGTTTTTTAAATAAAAAATGTCTTTTATGAACAGAAAAAAGTTTCGTGTTTCTTATACATTTTGTACACTTTGCTACAAAAAACCAAGTGTACAGATACATGGTGTTCTAAAAAACACAGTGTACACATACATTCTATTTCAGATTCTCATTAAAAACACTGCTCTTGATGTTTAGCTTTCGATACTGATCGTGATGGTATTCTGACATCTATGGAACATTTCTGACATAAACATTCGCATCAATATTATCTCTTTAAGATAATGCTAGAAATAGATCACAAAAACAATGATAAAAATCTATATTTCAAGACGTATTTATTTTCGATTATTTCGTTCATTTTCAGTTTTACTTTTTTGACAATTTTGAGATGAAGATATATTTGACAATTTATCATGATCTCGATGAGATTCCAATATATTTTTTTCGTTAACTTTAATTATATGAAAATGATTATTAATGAACATTTCGATTACTCTATCGGAGAATAAATCTCACTAATCAAGTTTTTTTTTCTATATCTCTATTTGTTTCAAATCAAAACTTTTTAATTGGAAATTAAAATTCATTAATAAATATTTAAACTAATCGATTGTTATAATCGCAGTTATAGTCGGTTATTTAAATGCATAGATGTACCAAATGGAGGAAAATAACGAACGAATTTTATCGGCTATCAATACTTTTCATTGTAAACAGAATTATCTTTGTTTTATAAAATTTATTTTATCGATACTAACATAGTGAAACACAAGGTCTTATTTTCTTTATCTTATACTAAATCGTTTTCATCATGGATCAACGACCTATCCAAGAATTGAATACTCCATCTGGCGATTCAATAAATGCAAATAATATTTCTTTACGAATCGTTATATAAAACATAAACTTAATTAAAATTTGATTTTTTTTTCAGAATCGCCAACAAGTTACAGATCATATGGGTGTATTGATCGATGAAAATAGTGCTTTACGTCAAGAAAATGCTAATTTATTTCAACAATTAGATAGACTTCGACTTGAAATAGCACAAAAACAAACGAATCATGATCAACTTTTACAAAAATCTTTATGTAATTTGACAATTACAAATGATGAATTAACTAATCAACTTAACCCTTTCAATCCCGCATGTCATCTACGAGATGGCATGCAGAACGAAAGAGAAATATTTTGCGTTCTTTCGTCTTCTTAGACGACGAATATCATATGATATGGTCAAATGAAAACCACTTCATATGGATATGAATAATGAATCTAGAATTCAAACACATATGATTGTGATAGCTGAACGCAAGAGAGAGAGATTAAACTATCTTTTTTTCGTATTCGTACAGAACGCAAGAAAATGACGAGATTGAAAGGGTTAATGATTGTCGACAAGAATTAAGTAGTTTAAAAAAGGAAAATGATAATTATAAACATGAAAATGATCATCTTAAACAAACATTAAATAATTTGCAAAAAGACTATGATCATGTTGTACAAACATTAAATGATTTACAAAAAGAATATAATCATATACAAAAACAATTAACTCATTTACAAAAAGAAAATGATCGTGATACAGAAGAAAATAAGCATTGCAAAAACATTTAATTAAAAGAAAAAGGCTTATACATATAGTAATGATTAGATTGTCTGATTCTCATTGTTAATTACTTGTAAACTTCGATTTTGTTTTCTTATTGATAAATAAACAAGATGTTGATCATTTCGATCCGATGTTTTTAATGAAAAATATAGATAAACTGCTTTCAATGTATGTACAGACTGCACGTATACATGAAGATTTTTTGCCGAATTGTTTCAAACAATATAGAAATTAACTGAATCGAACAATGATTAAAAAGTTGAAAAAAATTTGATCCTTTACTGTGTCAGAAATAATAGCACGCTATTGACACTCAAAGATTAGAGAGCTTATCCTTGATCAATTGATTCTCTGGCTTTAAGCGTCTTTATTTCAGCAATTAAATTTTAAGTATTTCTTTCACTGGTTCATTTTATTTGTGGAGAATTTAAGATAGCAATATTTCCAGCATTATTTACTTTTTCACTTCACAAAACTTCGATGTTTCTAAGATAATTTTTCTATAAAATGAACTCAATTTTGTAAAAACGAATATCTTGAAAAATTACTAGATCTTTCCTGTTTGTTTTGGAACATGCTTATCTGTTGCGTAATGATTGTACAGAGATTAATTCAAGAGTTTTGTTATCCTATATATCTATCTGTTGTGTTTACTTGTTGACTGAAAAATAATTCGATTGTAGCAAAGATATCACCGAATGACAGGTATCAAAGAATTATTTATTTTTTTCGCAATCGTTTTAGCTTTGAAATACATCTTTGGAAAAGCAATTATAGGTTCTGATAGCTCGTGAAATTTCCTATCGTCATATATGTTTGAAGCTTTTGGTTTTCAATCATTTTTTGACTCATAGTCAAATATTGCTGGTAATAGGGTTGCTACGTTACCTTTACTTTACTGCAGTTATCTAAGCAAAAAGTAAAATATGCCAATCGTTTAAGGACTAATCATCCGACTTCAAGTGAGTCCTAGATCGGAAAAACTCGGGTTTGACATTCAGTATTAAATTATCAATAATTTAATCTATGGATGACTCAAATTGAAAATACACTACCCTGAAGTATGCCTGGAAAAGCTATAGATATCACTCTCAGATATCTGCTGAAAAATTATGAAGACCATTTGTACACTATGTATTAACATCAGGTTAATCCTTTCTATCAGCATCTGTTTCAAGTATTTTTTTCGAGTGGAATATTATCGGATTGTTATACTCCTACTGCATACTAAATTTACCCTTTACAAGTAACTACGTAATCATGGTAGTTAGTGACATGTAATTAAGAGACGTTCCACGAAAAAATCAAATATTTTCGAATATCAAAAAACATGACGATTAACCGCTTGTGAATTTGAGCCCTTAGAAATTTCGGGCCTTGCGTACCATAGATGAATTCAAAACATTAAAGTCTAAAGATTTATCTCTGGTTTTGCTGCAGCTGTCAGACCACAGACAACTGCAAAAAAAGAGAAAAAAAGAATGAAAAATTAACCTATACTTTTGTTTTGAAATCTTTCAATCACAAAAGTTTTCACTATTCAAATTAGGTCATACACTAACTGATAGAGCTTGAGTTGTTCGACAAAACTATATCTATGGCAGTCCTCTATGATCTCAATGTAGAATCAAAAAAGTCCAAAAACCGTGTCTTTTACAGTATTTTGCCCTAATATCTAAGGGTGGAACTGATAGCGAAAAACTTTATCTCAATTTATAGCTCATTCAATTCTGCATCGACTCATATATTAAACACTATTTGAAAATGTTCGAGCAGTGAAATTGTCCAATGTGAATATCGGCCATTGGCACTATATTTTAACTATTTCCAAGGTTAGAATGTACTCATGGTTTTATTATTTTTTTCTTCAAAATATTTTATATTTGCAATTGACTTAGGGTGTGGGCTGTGAGTGTAGTATGAGAATTCTCCTCATTTACACCTATACCCACACCCTCACCCCTGATCATTCTTGGCATATTGGAAACTGTAATGGCTACAGGTTGAAAGAAAGAGAAAAAGATTTCATAGTCTACATGATCATTACAGTTTAACAGATTCTTCTTTATCAAACAGCACCTTAAAGCTGTCGTTAACAAACTCATAATGACAAGTGCATATTTTAAAGCTTATTCTATTAGGCAAATTAAAATAATTATAAAAGACGGATTCGATTAGTCTTCTTTTAAAATTAGAACAGTGTGGTGTACAATACAAGTCAAGATTCTTCATTTTAATAACCAATTATAGAAGTAATTGTTAGAGAGAAATAACAACGTAAATACTTATTATATCAGTCGAGGTAAAATAACAACTTCAATGAAACATCAATAAAATACGATTACACTTTTACATTATGGTTTAAGAGTTTCTGCGCCTATCGGTCTTTTTTCTACCTATATCATGCATCTTTGGAAAAATTGCATCAAAAGTAGTTGATGGACAACACAAGAATAAACATGGTATGTCTTAAAATATTCTTCATGCACATCAAAAAACCTATTTTGGAAAACATAATGAATATTTATTGTATATTAGAAATTTTCGAAACCGTGCATTAATTCGTCACTTAATTAGATTTAAATGAAACTTTGTAATGTAACAAAGGACCTATTTTTGTTTCTACAAGCTTTAACTACGTTTGATAAAAAATAATTAATGATTTTTAATGAACAGTTCGCAAAAAATATCTTAGATTTTTCATTGACACTGCAGCGCTCTCAATTTTACTGGAGCATTAAGGCTAAATTGAGTTTTCTTTGAACAACTCATCAGGATAAGTAATGAAATCTTTTCGGTAATTAAGAAATATTAATGAAATGAAAAGGTAGTGCAAAAAATATCTTATATAAGAGTAATATTAGGACTAGGATATTTCTTATGTAAAGTATCACACAAAAATATGACAAATTGATTTTAATTTATATTCAATAATTATGAAAGGTGAAAAATTTACATGTAAAATAGATATAATTTATAAGAAATTTACATTTATAATCAATGTCAATTTCTCAAAATTTTATTTACGCGTAAATTAAAATAAAGGTAAATGTCAATTGATACCCCTAACACCCACTCACACTTCAGATCCATCGTGACTGGCCCGGTTCGATCAGTTTGAGTCAGATCGAACCGACTACCGGTCAAGAAAAATCCTGGCCGATTACATCTCTGCTGGGGAGAATTTTGCAATTACGACTACCCACACAGAAAGTTGTTCGTTCTTTGTTAAGTAATTTATGCAAAGTGTTTTGCTCGTTGACAAAGAATGTTACACAACACCAAAAACCAAACAGCATTAATAGTAAATATACAATGGTGATAATCGTTCGAGCCGCGCTCTCAGGATATTCACTTGAAGCCCACTTTCCTTATGAGCCAATAGCATATGGACGCAGAATTCCGATTCTGCTATCCCGGAAGCAAATCGATACTCGACATCTGTTTTTATTGAAGACCGCCTGTTTAATTAATAGAAGTGGATCATTCAATAATCTTGAGCGTTCCTGAGCTCTACATGAGCCATAATAGAGTACTCCAAGTGAACAAATGCAAGCAAAACATATCGATTTGTTTTTACGAATGTCATCACTATGTTTTCTTGTTAGTAAAAGAATTTTTTTCCTTGCAGCATCAAAACCTATACAACAACTTTCAGCAAGTATCAAACAATTTTCAGAACAATTCTTTACTGTGCTAGCTCTCCTCGATATGATAGAGTTCAAATCTAAAATAATTTGAATATTGATTGTTGAATAGAAAATGGATAGCTATATCGATCTATCCACCTCATACATAACTGTATGAGGAAATAATACAAATTCATAAGAAAACAAAAACAATTCTTTTTAATAATATTTTCTTCTGCTTATTAAGTTGTAAATATTATATATTGATAAAACGATCTTATGCATAATACTAGAGGAAAACTGTTCACCGTTCACAAAGTATGATTGCAAATTGTATCTAATTATTGCAAATTTATATGTCCAATTCTAGTTTAAAATAAACGTGTAATAATAATCTAAGAAAGTATAATTTCTGTTTGTTTTATAACGCATTTCACGTTCTATTTCGTATCACATGTTCTTCTAGTAATTAGATATCATTTATTAAATAAATTTTATCATTCATATCTTGCACTTTATCATGTTTAATCGACGTATAATTTGAAATTCACAGTAATTCTTCTGATTCAGATTCATATGCTGGAAGTAACATATAGTTTATCAATTCGTATAGGAGAATTTTGTTGCATAGTTACAAGTTTAATATCTTCTTTTTTCTTGATTAGCATTTACTCGAATGGTATCATGTTTTATATTTGTACTAGAATTCAATATACTCTCCCATGTGAAAATTTAAGCAGAAAAGCTCGCTTAATGCTGCTTAAGTTTCTCGCTTAAAAGCGCACATTTTAAGCCGCTGAAACGCGCTTACAATTACGTTTTTAAGCACTTTTAAGCGCTTACAGTTGGATATCTAAGCACTTTTAAGCGCTGGAATCAGTAAGCGTTGCAAGGGCTTAAAAGCGCACATTTTAAGTAGCTGAAAAGCGCTTGCAGTCGCATCTTTAAGCGCTTTTAGACACTGGATTTCAACGAACAGACATTCGTAGATGATTCGCTCTGACTGCCATCACAAGGTGCCTGTATGCAGAGTACCACTAGAATATCATAACCCTAAAATGACTCTGGATCTTATCCATATTTGATTCAGATAATGACTTCTTACCGAATTCCTGAACCAATAGCTTTTGAAAAGAAACATATCTTTGAACTTCGTCTTGCAACTTTGTATATGCGAAGGCCTTAATGAGGCTATTTCATACACAAAATTTCATTAATTTTCAGTACTGCAATGTCAGCATATGAATTTCTCAAAATAACTGTATTTTGCGCAATACTTGAAAGTGTATATTTTTTGAGAAATTCACATCCTGGCATTGCAATATTCAAAATAAATGAAGTTTCGTATATGAGATAGTCTGATTGAGACCTTCACG